CACTGTGTCTGTCACGCGACTCTATTCCCCTTTCAGGCTCTGTCTTTACATTTATTTTGAAAGATGAAGCTCGTGATTATGGTAAGGGGCGTTACATTTCCGACGAGTGCTTGCAGTGTTCGGCCAATCACAATGCACTGGGTCAGCTGGCCAATCAGAGCAGACTGTGCTTGTCGGAAGGAGGGACTTTGTAGAAAACGAAGCGTTTGAGAGAGGCGTGGCATAGAGGACCTACAATAATGTACAGTATTTGAAAAATAGTGTGTTTTTTGAACATTAAAGCATGTCAGCATATTCGGTTACACCAAATACACAAAATAATGATCTTTTAAAAAGCATCATATGACCCCTTTAATGTCAATTTGAACTCCGTTAAACACAGTGAAGCTGTGACGCCCCTCTTCTGACCGACCTCTTGCTCTGCGTTCACATCGGCTCCGCTCTTCAGAAGCATTTCAGCTGCCCGTTCACCTTCCTTCACTCTGGCTGCGCTGTGCAGAGGGGTTTCCTGCGCCTTTATTAAATATATACACATGAACCAAGGGTTTCCTTTCATTCGCTGTAAAATTTCATAAACCGATAAAACATCCTGGAGTTTCTTTACACTTTGCAAAACAGCTATTATTTGCATAATGATGCAGCCCAAACTTTACTGGACCTGAAATCAAAGCTTCCTTCTTAAAAAAAAACTTGTTTTCCTTTTGTGTTCCATGGAAAATATAAAAACATGCAGGGGCGAAAGTAATTATTCTATAACATTTTATAATAAGGTTCCATTTGTTAACAATGAACAACCCTTTTAAAGTGTATATTAATTTCAGTTAATGTTAATTTCAATATTTACTAATAACAGTATTATTTTAGAATCAGTAAGATACTATTATGGTTTTATTAATATTTTTAATTAGCTTTTATTTTTATATTTTCTGTTTTCATTTTCATTTTTGCATTGTTTTAGTAATTTTGTTTTGTGCTTGTTATTTTATTATTATTATTATTATTAAATTTTCAGTTTAGTTTTAGTAATTGGTATTACATTTTATTTTAAAAAATTAAGTTTTTTTAATATATTGTATATCTGTTAAATTTTTTTTTCAACAACATTTTTATCGTTTTAGTTGTATGTGTTTATAATTTTTTACATTTCAGTTTTAGTTTTAGCTATTTTAGTACATCAATAAGAAATGTTGCTTTGGCAACTAGCTGAAATAAAATAAGTTTTTTTATTTTAAAAAATATTTTTTTTATATTATATTTTATTTCAGTAAATTTTTATTTTATTTCATGTAATGATAATTATTTTTATGGTTTAGTTTTTCGGTTTCATATTTTTTCTTAATGTGTCTTACATTTAATTAATTATAATATAATATAAAAATGAATGTCATTAATTTTGGTTTCAGTTTTAGTTTCAGTTATTTTAGTAGTTGAACTAAATTAACATGAGAAATGCTGTATTGGCATAACTGAGTAACTGAACTGAATAATACATTATTAAATTTAAAAGTTGTTTTTGTTAAATATTATTTAATGGATCTGAGCTAATGTGAACTAACAATGAACAGTTAATATATAAACACTCTAATAAATGTATTGTTACAAATGTATCATTGTAAGTTAATGCATGAACTAATGGGGCCTTATTGTAAAGCATTACCTCTATTTCTTTAAAGTTAATTAAGATGATCCTTTTAAATAACACCTCACTGAACTCTGATGGAAATGTCTTCATGATGAATCAGATCTATACAGGTGTGTTTTTCTTACCTTTCCTCCTCTGATCTGCACATTTGCCCCGAATCCCAGCAGCACCTGCGGCTTGCAGTTCTCCACCGCGATGTGAAGCGCCGTCTG